ATATGCCAACTTCTCCCACATCGCCTTCGGATCTCCCTTCTCCTTCCTGATATGCGCCTTCTGATTCTCCTCGACCAACAACCAAATCTCCCCACTAGCCTTTGCCTTCCTCTGATTCCACTCCCTAATCTCCTTCGCTTCGGACGAGCTAACTCCGGACACGTAGTCCTTGAAATTACTCTCAAATGTGACTAAAGAACATGTTTTTTTGTCGAGTTTTGGATGGGCCCATTGAGTTACATGGGCCACGAAGACCAAGTGAGATAACACTCGCAAGTGTATCTTCGTGGGGTATGGGAAGGGAGTGAAAGCGTGGCAGTTTTGGGACCCGGTTGAGCGTGGGATCGTCATCAGCTCTCATGCTGTGTTCGATGACCACTTCTTCCCTGGTAACTCCACTCTGGCTTATTACTCTGGTCTGACGGATCAGGAGGGAGAATTGTACGCCTCTGGCAAGTTTATTAATCCGCCACCTCCCCCAGCTCCACAGCACGTCGACTTAGCCCCTCCTCAGCCCCCTCATCACGTGCCACCGCCACATCCTCGTACCCCTTCGCCCGATTCATCTCCCTCTCCATCTCCCACTCCAGAGCGATCACCATCTCCTCCTCCTAGACGCAATCCAGGCCATTCTACTCGTCCAGACAATTCTCTCAATGAGAACGCCATTGAGCAACGCAACGATCGTCCTCCTCATCGCACTCCTTCTGTCCCACCTCGCTCGGTGTCTCCGGATCCTCTTCGTCTCCCTACTCCTCACTTCCAGACGCGGTCGTGGTTGTGGCGGACGTTTGTGGGGCCACTGTGGCACAGTTGGAGTTCTCCCCGTTTAGGGTTAGGGTTAGGTTGCAACAACTCGTCCATGTACATACCCTTACCCTTGTCTCTGTACCCCATCTCTGTGTCTGTGTCTGTGTTTGCTGGGCCATCAGCCCCCTCTGAGCTTCTATTCCTGACACCCCTCGCATCCATAGGCCTCTCGTAGGTGACGATAGCCCTGACCCTTTGGGGACGACTCCGGATACTCCCACTTGGAGAGAAACTCGGATTCCAGATCCTATCTTGGGAGTCGGAGGACGAAGATAGTGATGCCTACGACTCTGCTGCGCTGGTTTCGACCGGATCGGACTTTAAGGGGACGGAGTATCTGACCCTCAATCAGGCCTGCGAGTTTGCCCATGCGTTGAAGACGTCGTCGCACGATGGAGAGCCCAGATCGTTTAAGGAGGCGATGAAGCAGGAGCCGAAGGAGAAACAGAAATCTTCAACCTCCACACCCATGCAGCTCCCTTCTCCTTGAATCCCTCGGGTTGGCGCATAAACACGGTCTCCTTGAGCGTACCGTTGAGGAAAGCGGATGAGATGGCGACGCTCTCTAGATAGAGATCCTCGAAGGCGGCTAGGACGAGAACGGCGCGTGGAGCTGCCCAGCGAGGTGTAGGAGCGAAGGTTTCGTGGTAGTCGAATCCAGGACGCTGAGAGAAGCCTTGGGCCACCAAACTTGCCTTATACCCGCTCAATCGAACCGTCCGCATTCCGTTTCACCTTGAATCCCCATCTACTCCCTATAGCCTTCGCTCCCCTTGGTAACTCGACGAGCTCAAACGTCCCATTCTCCACTAACAACTGAATCTCGCTCAAAGCCGCCTCCCATCAGGCTGGAAGGGTTTGGCATGAGACGTTGAACAAGAGGTTAGAGGAGATGGGATTCAAGCGGATTCTCTGTGAGCACAGTATCTGGGTCTTTGGTCAAGGTGATTCGCGCATTATCATACCCGTCTTCATTGACGATATGACGATTGCTGCAAAATCCAAGGGTGAAGTCGACCGTATCAAGTGGGAGCTCAAATCTCACTTCAAACTTCGCGATCTTGGTCCTACTTCCTTTCTTCTAGGTGTTTCTATCGAACGGGATCGTCCCAATCGTACCATTCGACTCTCTCAACGCCAGTACGTCTTAGACCTCCGATTGCAGTCTGGTTCCCACTCCCCTTGATCCTTCCATTCGCCTTTCCACCTCCATGGCGCCCCAGTCGTACGAAGAGGAGCTGCAGATGCGCTCTATTCCTTATATCAATGCCGTCGGAGCCTTGGCCTACCTTGTGATCGCCACTCGTCCAGACATAGCTCACAGCGTCGGAGTCCTTGCTCGCTTCAGCCAGAATCCAGGCCTTCAGCATTGGAAAGCGATCAAGCACCTCTTTCGCTATCTCGAGGGCTCTCTTGACTACAAACTCACTTATTCTCCCACATCCTCTTCCTCCACTCGGCTCTTCCACACTACACCGACGCCGATCATGCAGGCAATCCGGATTCTGGACGTTCCACCTTTGGTTATCTCGTCAAGATGGGGACCGGCGCTATTTCCTGGCAATCTCGCCTTCAATCCACTGTTGCCCTGTCTACCACAGAAGCCGAATATGTCGCTGCTACCACTGCTGGCCAGGAGATCCTCTTCCTTCGCAACTTGCTCACTTCCTTTGGTTATTCACTCCACTCTCCTTCTACCCTCTACATTGACAATCAGTCTGTGCTTCAAGTGGCGAAGAATCCGGAGCACCATGGGCGTATGAAGCATCTGGACTTGCGGTTCTATTTGTTGAGAGATGAGGTGGAGAAGGGGACGATCCGGACTGAGCATATAGGGTTAAAGTGCAGAAGTTTGCGGAGATGATGGGGCTTAGGGCTTGAGGTCTGCCTCGTCGGGAGGGAGTGTCCGGAGTATTACGACGAGACCGAGTGAATGTTCCTGGTGAAAGGGTGGGTTGATATAACCCTAGAAGCAAACCGGCAGCAAATTGGCTCACGGCTGTTAGGAGGTTAATCATGAATTCTGCCATCACTGGATACCACTCGGAAAACCATGTGGAGATGAGTTTTGAACATTGATTCTTTGAAAGCCATGCTATGTTAAATGTCATAAACAAGGCCAAGTGGCCGAAAAAAACCCTAAGTATCAAACACGAAGGCTCAACACAACAATGCAAGCTACTTTGACAGACGACTCACCTGTGTGTTACGGTCTGTTCGGCTGCCAACCACACCTCAGGCCTTTCAGGGCAAGGATGGATGTTTGAACTCTTACAACGCCATCCTGATCGAATTCATTCCGAGCTTGGGCTATACCACAACACGTTCTACACACTTCTACAAGAATTGCCGCTACTTGGCCATGGTGACTCTTGTCACTGTTTGTTCCCTCGAAGAGCAACTTGGCATCTTTCCTATACCTGTCGTACTCAATGTTCGGCATGTTGGTGAACATTTTCAGCGCTCTAACGAACCTATTGCCAAGTAAGTAATGCTACAATTTCTAGGGCTACACTAATGGAAACACGTAGATCATTTCTTTTCTCTTCCCCACCATCGATTCTATCCAACCTATGTCCATCTTCCCTTCGTGGATGCTCCCGTTCTGCACCACATATGTACAACAACCCCCGCTTCTATCCGTTCTTCAAAAAAGCACTTGGAGCAATGGACGGCACACATGCTGATGCAACAGCATCTGCAGAGGATGTACAGAGTTTGTGGAATCAGAAAGGAGGCGTCACGCAGAACATTGTTGCGTGCTGTGATTTTGAGCTGAAATTCAGGTACTTGCTCAGTGGGACAGAAGGGGCAGCAGCAGATGCATGGATCTATATGTCCGGAGTATCACGACGAGACAGAGGGAAATTTCCTGATATGTTAACAAATTTTCCGGGACTGATAGGATCACTTACTGCAGAGTTATGACTTTAGTTATTTCGCCACCAAGCCGTCCGCAGAACGCCGGATTCCGCGCCTCGGGATCCACCACTCTGCGTCCCGTTTAGGAAGTTAATTTTCCAACTGTATAGTATACCGGTAAGTGCCGAAGCACATCCTTTTAACTTGTGGGAAGTGTCCTTGTCTCTTTATCATTGACAGTGATGCTTCTCACAGGTGAGACTTACTATAGATTTCGTCTCTTTCTTTTTCTATTACTTTGTGAGGGCAATATCATTGACAGTGACGCTTCTCACAGTCATTTCTTCAAGCGCCTAATTATCTGTGCTTCACAGGTTATGGGCTTTACACTTTAAATTGCCTCAGAACGTTCTGCTTAGCTCCTAACTGATCTCTGAGACTCATATCTCTCTCTACTAGCCTTAGAATGGGTTCTCTGCTTCTCTCTTTTTGCGCTAGACTCATCGTCATCGATAACTAATCGCTGCATTTGCCCCCTTATCGCTTGGACTCATTTTGCGCCTCTTATCGACGTCTCCATCTCACCACTATTATTCCACCATTTATCCATATTTTTATCGGCCACCGTTCCATCTTTATTCACCCTACAATTATCCCTGCCTATATTCCCCATTTTATCCATACATAACCCAGCCTGTTTCACTATATACACCCTACCTACCCATCTTAGCCATTCTCCAGCACCCCTACCCCCTACGCTACCCCCAGGACCACCCTCGTATACCCTACCCCATCGCCCTGGGCCACCGGTCACCCAGAATTATCCATCGGCCGCTCCAGTAGCCAGCCCAGTACTGACATTTATAATTCTTGGGCCAGAGGAACCTTTGTAAAGGACCCACTTCTTACTAGCAGGTACCTTTATAAATGGCTTACATCTACACCTGAGATTCCATAGCATGGTGACTACACACCACTATGAATTTTCTAGCACGGTGTCGACACCACTACGGATTTTCTACCAAGGTGTCGACGCCAAGATTTCCAGCCCACTAAGAGCTTCAGGGTCTTATGAGTTACATAACCCCAGCCGTTCAATTGCAAGACAAAACCATGCAGACACTGTGTACAAGTGGCCCGACTAAAATAAACAAACGTCTTCAAAATGCCGGACCCTGATCAAGCCACCATCCAAAGTTCGTACTAACCCCCCAGCCCGGCCTTTTCCCCTTCAGTTGCTCTAACACCTTCTAATGAAAGAAGCGCACAACAGAGAATATCCCTGCTGTAACGCCAATGTCCTCCTCTGCAAGATTTGCTTTTGCCATCTAAGGTGAGACTCTATGGGCCAAAAATGGGGTGAACCCGAGGAAAACATTGCCTGAGCGAAATCTGATGCAACAGTCAGTTTCTGCTGCATTATCATAGTGATTGAACATTTACCTGAGCCGAGCATTGAGTTGCGGCACTTTAAACTCTCCTCCATGAAAGTGGCCGTCCACAATGTCTACAGTGAGATCATCGTGAACGTCAAAGTGGATGTCATCAGTCTGAACCTTGTACAGGAATGCCCTCCCAATGAACGGCCCAATATCCTCATTGAATGTCTTCCCAGCCTCGAAAGCTTGTGTGTACTCCGCATGCTTGTCGGAGAAGAAACACTGCAAGAGTTTGTCCACCATAGTATTGATGATTTTGGTGTTTTTGAGATGGGCGCGGTAACCGGTGATGAAGGAGGCGGATCACATGGTATCCTTAGAAACAGTCATGGGCTGCAACACATTATTATTAGATATGAAGCAAGAGAGTTTAGGATGAACTTGCTGTATTGGGGTGCCCTTGCTGCAACCAGCAATGCAGACAATAATGATAGATGCCTTTACACTCAGCTTCCTCCTGGTTATTGCAATTAATGTAGCGGCAGATGTGGTGTTTCAGCTCGTCTGGTTCAGTGTAATGAAGGCTGTTTTCGTTCAGTTGTTTAGGTTGTGAGAGGCCAGTTGCTGAAGTGACTGTTTCTACTGAAGTAATAGCCTCTCCTGTTCTGTCGTGTTTGAACGTGAATAATTCCAATGTCACAGAATGCTCTTACCGGAATGCCATCGTGATATATCTGCAAGTCATCAGCCTTGGCTTTCTCCAAATCATCCTCCGTACAGCCGTTTGACTGGTCATTCACGTCCTTGTCTGCTGGCCTCGTACGAGGTGCATGAGAGTTGATGATACGTACCCCAAGATACACTGTAACCAGGTAATTGTCGCTTGTGTAGTACAGTGTGGTGAAGGGGATGTCGGGCGTGTTCTGGAGACCCGTATCCGCATATGCCTCTAACTCCTGCAAATATTCAGCTCTGGAAAGCTTCTCCCCCTCCTTACCATTCGGCTTAAGTAACTGCCCTGTAGACTTGAGTATGAGCTCCTCAAAAGTCACGTCTAAGTTAACCCTCTGTGCTCCACTGAGGACCGATTTGATGTTTTTTGTTAACTGGGCAATATCGGCCTCAAGGCATGTCTCCGGGGACGTGTTCTTTCATTTTTGCTTAGTAGACTTCCCTGATACAAGGACGTTACTGGGAGCTTTGATAGGGTAAGCGATCCACGGCTGGGTCCAATATGTTAACTACAGGCTGAATAGCACAGACTGGACGGGAGAAACAGCTCATCTTTGCTGCCTTCTTCGTCTTGGTTGTCTTTTTCTTCTTTTTCTTCGGCTTCTCTAGCTCACTTTCCGTCTCACTTTCGACTACCTCCGTATCGGAACGGTCTGGGAGCTACATTTGCACGAAATTGTGTCATATTGTGTGAGATATGATCGAGGCTATCAAATTGGTCAAGCTCTCACCTCTAGGTGGTGTCCTTCTAAATCATCATCGTTATATGGGCTGCCGTCCGGCGAGGGTGTCCGAGGCTATGCCAATGTGAGCAATGAACTAACCCGACCACCAATTCAGTGAATGTGTCACCTCCACATTTGCTTCCCTAAAGCCATCGTCATTCTGTTCATCGTCAGAAGAGGCACTCTGAGACTGAGTTAATTTGAGTGATATTTATTTGACCAGTCCAGCACATGGGCTCTGCTCACCCTGCCTCTTTTTGGGTCAGACATTGTGTTCATTCTACAACTGACGGTGCTGAGAGCACGTAGATGCGGATGGAGATGGTGGTGGTTGTTGTCAAGATGGTTTTGATCAGATTGCTGCGACATATCAGATGCGCATCACTGTGTAAAGTGTTCTCCACTTTGGGCGGCACTCAGAAGCTGAAGGCTGACAGAGCCCGGGAACCTGGCCACCTCATCAGCGGAGTGAGACTAAGGTTCAGCCATGCATTCACGGGCACCTAAATCACTCTTGATCCTCTACCACCACCATCTCTGACCACTGCTCGGCGATCACTCATCTGTGCACTGCTTGACTGAAGTACTCTCCGGAATGGGAACATTGCTTCACCCCTCTGTATTCAGTGTGACTTCTGCACTGGCTCATTCATCTGCTGGTTTCTCACGCAGACTCTGAACCTTCCCAAATACACTTGGGTTCGATAATGTCATCTTCAGAGGTTCGTCTTTGTGCTCTATCGCTGTTGTGGGTTTAAACTGACATGGCCCACTATCTCGCACTCAGGTCCTCAGCCGGAAGTGAGTCAGTTTTATGTTCTCTTCACATTTGGTCCCATTCATGTACTATTTATTTTTGGGACAGGATGAGAATAGGTTTAGTCTTGCCTCTTGTTTTATCCCAGGCAAGTCAAAATACCGCGTGATCTTCATCAGAGAATCGCGCACCGCCTTTTCCAATGCAGCCGACAAGCCGTGGGATCAGATGGAGTATATCAGCATGGACATGCCAAAGGATATCGCCCAGTGGTTCCGGGTTTGCTTTCCGAATCATGTTATAGACGCTCGGCTGAAACCCACAAAGGCGGAGAGGAGGAACTGGACACAGACGAGGAGGAGAGGGTCCTTATATGTGAGTGTTTGTTTTTATGTACATGTTCTGTCTGTTGTTGTCGGTGCTCATGCTCCACATTTCGCAAAGTGTCTGCTGCTGTGGAGTCTGATGAACTCATCAGCAGAGTTTGAGATCAGTGTTGTGGGGTATGAGCAGTTCTGAAGCTGTCTGACATCCCCCTCACATACAACAGACCCGCTCTGGCTGTCCCTGTGCCTCACCAATGTTGTACTTGATGGATTGCATCTTGAGATCGATTTCCGGTGAGTGTTTTATCACTATCTCATTACCTTGGCCAATCTTCTCAACTGTCATCTGCATGACGACTGAAAGGACCCCGCAGTTCAACATTAATGCCGACAACCTCTCCGTATATGTCAACTCCATACTGGAGCTGTCTTGCTTGACTTGTGTTTTCCCGCCACCTCAAGAGCTTCTTGCATTTGGCTAGGTTAGGTTATGAGCACTTTTCACCGATCCTAGGAAAACCTTTACATAGTAAACCCTAGGTAAAGACCTAACCAGAGATTAGGGTTGGGCCCTATAGAGTACACACTGTACAACAGTCCACGCTGCACACATACCATAATGCAAAACACGTGACACAATAATTACAGAGAGTAAACAGTGGTGCTGACTTTCCGTCTCAGACGGATTGCACAGCACACACATCACGTTAGATGTGGCACTAGCTGCTCACTGCACAATCTGTCTAGGACGGAATACGCTGCAGTGATGGCTTGTATTAGGTACTCGAGCAAGCACTCCTACTGTACAATCCGTCTGGGAAGGATTACTCTGCAAAGACAGCTTTCCATGTATGAATGCATGTTCTACTCGAGCAATTTCCGATCTCGTGGGTCTTTGAGTGAATGAGTTTGGAGTCTCACCCCCTTGCCATTGTAAAATCGCTCGTTCTCGCTCAATACCACGTACATTTCTGATGTAGTAGCATCAATCGACGCGAGAGGCATATCACCATTTCAAACAGCATTGATGGAGTAGATGTATATCATCTTTTCTTGGATTTGAGTCCTATTCGCCGCTATAGGTATGTACCCCTTCAGATATCAACCATAACTTCATGGTGTCCGTAGCCTACGGCCACCAAGGGCGTGCAATTGTATGTGGGTCACCAAGAGGAAGTGTCAATATCTGGGACAAAGCCACTGAGGAACTTCTCCAGACCCTATGTCATGAAGGTGATGTGTTCTTTTCTCTTTCATTTCGAGCTCTCCTCTTCTTACTAACTGGGTTTTGATAGGCAAGATGGTTCAAACGGTGGCGGTAAGACAGAGGATTATGCAGTTGTAGTCTGTCATCTATTGATTGCTAATCATTCTCAGGCGGCACTTTCAGACACACAAGCTTTTGTTGCCACCGCTGCCACTGCCAGTGCCAAAGGGCCAACCGTTCTCACTCTATGGAAAATGAAGATAGGTAAGCAAGTCGGCTGACCGCCTTCGATTTGAACTCTCATAGGTATGTATAGATCCTCAATTACACCGATCTTCATTCGACACAATCTATCGCCAAGCAAGCACGGCTGTGGTAAGTAATTTAATTGTCAACTTTGCGCTTGGCTTACCGATCTTAACAGACCCAAGCAAATCAATGGATTCAGAGTGAATCCGACATGGTCGAACCGTGGATCTATGCCCATCCGTTTTTGTCCCTGTTTTTCATACTCCTTCCCATCATTCTTGCTTCATATAGTCTCAGGTCTTGAATCCTCATAAGCATGGTGGGTGGGTTGTAGTATCATGACTATGCATCACTCACACTCTTTGTCAGGAGTTCATTGTTGATAAGTTGGTGCGTACATCCCGATCCTGGATTCACCTATTGACAGCTAAAATTGCATAGCAGTCTCTTGTGATAAATCCAGCTCTCTTGTACTGGGTAAGTATACTCACCCCTTGACTTCGGCCAAGGGCTCAAACTAATATATTGTCAGAATGTCAGTGCTCAGAATATGTAGACTGTCACCATACATTGTTCTACCTTTGTCCTTCTGAGCCACGCCAACAATTTGTTGCAGAACAGCTCTATTTGACGTGCTACAAGGACAATTACGATGCCTGAGGAACGAAGGTACATCGTTTATACTACCTCTTTCTTTTGCTTCTTTTCTTTGTTAGGTTTGGCGGCGACACGGGCAACGCAAGGTTCGTGCAGACCCCTAACCCTATATTTCAGTCCCATAGACCAGTCCATGGACCTCTTCAGCTCAGACTTCTCCGGCCTAGAACATCCAGTAAATCAAATGACCAAGTGTTTCAGTATTCTTCTGGAATAAATTCAAACTCCGCACACATGAGTACGGAGTTTCAATTAGTCATGAAGGGACCCGCTATGTAGGAAGACTATTGGATACTCACAAGGTAGAGACCATATACTTGTCAGATAGATATGCATATTCTACAAATTATGATGATTTTAGTTTGGCAGATTGATTTGATTTAATGTGTGCACAGCTTAATGTTGGAAAAGGGGTCCAGTTTAGCGTATTTGATGATTTATGGAACTGGTGACATCAATG